TCACTGCACATCACTGCAGACAGGCCACTCCCCCGAACTGGTTCCCTGGTCGCTGCTGCCATTGCTGGCATGTTTTTTAGTATTTTCATGTTCTGTGCATGTGCAGAATAATTTACAGTCCACTGTGCACACGCGCAGATCACACATCTGGCAAACTGTGCGTGCACCGCTGGCAGCAACCCACCCCGGCTATAGGAATGCTCCATAGACCAGATGGACAGAGAAAGGGCATGAACAAAGAATGTTGTCAGGCCTGCAGCCATCTTTTCTTTTGGATCTTTGGTCTGCCACATTTTCTATTATTCTGTTGCAGCAAATCTTGTTACCAATTCACAAGATCACGAAGGGTTGGAGAACATAGGTTTATTTGCGCAATGGTTCAGAGCATTAGCATGACAAATTCTGAACCCCAGGGTTACGCCCAGGGTGTTACTTTTATCCATTTCGCAAACCCAGCACTGCCTGGGTGTTATGCTAGGCTAGCTTCTTTATCAGTACAGAACATAAGAAAGGAGAAGCTTAACTAAAAAAAAAAAGGGGGGGGAGTTCAATAAGTGATGAATTTGCTATAATTCTATATGTTGATGGGTTACATGGGTGGGTCTTATCTTACACCATCTGTTACTTTTGGTCTACATCCCTTTGCACATGTCCTGTAGTCAGTTACAGGAATTATCTAGTACATAGGTTATTCACCTATAGGTTACATCAAGCAAAATCTCTTTTCCATAATCAGGGTTTAAGAAAGTTCTCCTTTTCATAAGGAAGAAGCAAATTGTAACATGCAACTAGTACTCTGCATTGTATAGTATGTTTCTTATATCATTTTATTCCTACCTTTTATACTATTTTCTCTTCTGCCTCAATTCTACTATGCATTTTCTATTGTGGGAAAATGGGAGGGGGGGGTTGTACGGAGTTAGATGCTACGTAGCCATAACAAAATTCTTTCTAGAAAGCCAAGGTCAGCCTTTGTCTCTGCATCTCTGCACCTGACCAGAACTGGTGGAGCTGCCAGCATGGAAGTGGGAGATTGGACCATGTGATGGACTTGTGGGTGTGGAGGCAAGATCTTGAATTTTGAAATAGGTGGGGAAAACTGGGAAGCTTTCAGATTCAGGTTTTCCCAGATGTACCAACATGACTCTCTTAATAAATTGGAACTTTGAGCAATNTGATGAGAGCTAAATAGCTTGAAATAGATCTATACTAGTCTCCCTTTATTTATTTATCAGCACAAATAAAACACACACACACATACACACACACACACACACACAAAAGCATATAACACAATCCGCAGCTGAGGTATAAAAAACTTTAAACCACAACCAACCAAACCACTGATAGACACAGGCACATACGGTAAATCCCCAAGCCTAGTAATGAAACCATGTCTTTAAGACCTTATCGGTAGGGTTGGAGTCATCTGACACTGATTTCTCTCTGGAGATGATGGCCAAAGGGTGGGCATGACAACAGAAAGGGCTCTCTTCTAGGGCCCTGTGAGATGGCACTCCTTTATAGGGCTCAGAGAAGGCCTCTCCTGCTGGACCTAATGGTACAGGTAGATGCAACCGGGGGGGGGGATCCTACTGGTTTAACAACCGGTTCGCTATGCATGCATGCGAATATAAGCCTTAGAGAAGGTTTATATTCCAGATTACTGCTTGGGAAGGAAAACATCTGAGGAACGGCAACTCACTCTGCTGCATGACTTGGCTGAGAAGATAAAGATAGGTAAAGCAAGGGGTGGGCGGGTGGGCTGACTTGCAAGTGGGAGTGAACCGGTTCACTCCCAGCTGATCTTTGGAGCTACCAGTTCTCCTGAACCTGTTCGAATTGGTAGAATCCCAACCCTGGATGCAACCAGGTAGAGGCACTTCCTCAAATAGTCTTATCCCATATTTTATTAAAGGACATCCACAACTGTTCAGCACACTTAGGTAAAGAGAAAAGATCTTGAATCTCGAAACAAATATCAATTGTGTAAAGCCAGCAACTAAAACAAGAGAAGAGTACAAAAAATATTTTAAGACTTCCTACTGTACCAATCTTTATTTACCACAGGCAATCAGAAACAAATCTATGCAGCTTCTCAGTAAGATCCATACATGTTACATATATTGTATGGAATATAAATAGATTGTGTTGGTTTAAAAATGATGAGGGGAGAAATCAGTAAGTCATGGTAATATCTTAATCATACTAATTCTAATAACAGGTAATATTCTAATCAGGCACCTCATCTGATTAAGTGAAATCTGGTTAACAATGCTTGTGGTGGAAAATTTAATTAATCCCAAAGAATGTCCATATTTTAAAACTACTATGCAGCATCCAATTTTTCCCATTTTAACAAACACATATATTATCTGATTCTAGGTGATTAAATAAACACCTTAATGAAATGTATTAATTGTATTTTTCAGTGTAAGAATAAACCAATGTACAATTGTTATCTCATATTCTTTCTTCAATGCCATTCAGCAGGGGTTAAATGCCGCATGGGATTATCTAGCGCTTGTTTTAATGGACCCACTCCCACCCTTCAGTGAATCATGTACAATCATAAAGAAGACAAATAACAGGTTGATGAGTCACAGATGAAGATATCCGTCTGAAATATATAGGATTCTTTTTTGCCAGGAACAACAACTGAGAGGGATTCACAGGCAGCATGAAGGTGACCTACGCTGAAATGACTAGTGACAGCAAGAAGTTAAAAATGTTACTCAAGCCAAAAAAAAAGAGAAGAAAAAAGGAAAACAAAACTAACATACAGTATATATGATTCCTTCAAATATTCCTTATCTTAGCAACAGCTAGTTTTGGAGATTTTCTCTTTTATCTTAGCAGGCCTATTATACAGCACAGGCATATCTGTAACATGCTAAAACCCTCTTTTCCTACAAACAACTTAAGACAATCTACTTGGCTTTTTCCTATGAGGAAATATAGCCAATAATACTGAAATAGGCCCATAGAGTTGGCCATCTTTTCCTGAGACCACACAGCAGTGAAAGAAAGTCATAATTCCAATGAAAGATGCTGCACCTTTAAGAAATTGCCAACAGATGCAGATAGCCAATGAGGCTTTGTTTTTTGCTTGAAGACGCTTTGCTACTTATTCAAGAAGCTTCTTCTAGAACTGAAGAACCTTCTTGGATGAGAAGTGAAACCTCTTCAAGGAAAAACAAAAAAGTCCAATTGACTCTGGAAAAAAGCACCTTTGGGACAACTGTGACCTGGATGACTGAGATTCTGCATAGACACAACTCTACCATTAAATGAAGTGGTTACTAGGTGAAACTACAACTCTTAATGATCTTACATCAATTTTCTTTTGCCTCACAAACCTGCAAAGGTAATAAATAGAGGATTGGTTGCAAAATTACTTTTCAATTATGCAATTGTGAATGGTCTCTTAATATGGGCAACCTGTACTTTGTGAGTGCATTCCAAAGCATTTTTCAATGGTGCAGTGGTTAGAATACAGTATTGCAGGCTACTTCTGCTGCCTGCCAGCTGCCTGTAGTTCAACAGTTTGATTCTCATCGGCTCAAGGTTGACTCAGCTTTGCATCCTTCCCCAGGTCGGTTAAAACCAGGACCCAGATTGTTCAGGGCCATAAACTGACTGTGTAAACCATTTAGAAAGAGCTGTAAAGCATTGTGAAGTGGTATACATAGTAAATCTATGTGCTTAGTGCTATCTTTCTCCATTAAGTCCTGAATCAGAATGCTGCATAATTCTGCTATATAATGAGGATTTGAATCTAGTCCAATATTCCAATACTGAATAGTGGGCTTGTCATTAATATCAACACAATCAGATTAATTTTTCTACACAAGCTATATTATTTTTGATTAAACATTTTGACTGCCGAGAGAGGTCTGGTTATTGGTTGATTTAGAAATCCATTTAATTAAAGAAAAAAAATTACATTTTACCTTATTTAAGTGAAAGGCTATAACTCATTGGTAGTACATGCATTTTAAATTTAAAAGGTTCCATGGTCCTTGGCTTGAGCTTACTGAGATACAGTCCAATGGCCTGATCTGATATTGAGCAGGGGAAGAATGTAGCTTAGTACTTTTATATTTAAAAAATCCAGATGGCTACTAGATGGCAGCAAAATTAGACTTTCATGCCATGTAGTGGGTCTCTAGATTTCTGCAACCCACAATTGATAGACCTTCTGTAGCTCACTGTTTGAACTCATATTCCAGATTTCATTTTGGATAACTTTAAAAAGGCTCTGATGCTGGAGAGTAACTTCCAGTCAGCAATTATGTGGCAGAAATAAATGGCTTGATCTGTTACATGGCATCTTCCTATGATACAAATTATTTTGGTTTTTCTTTTATCTTAGCATGATGTCTCTGGATCCACCACAGATAAATCTTAAGAGATTATCACATGGCGGCTGCTGCAGTTAGTCCTGGTAAAATGCAAATTAGAAAACATTTGACAGTTGCCCATGTTATACAGGAAGAGAGTTGTCACCTGTTTGGAAAAGAGCAGGGTCAGCAACCTTAAATACTCAAAGAGCCACAAAGGTCCTAACTGGAAGTCCCCCGTTCAATTCTGGAGCCAACCAAAAGTCCAGTTCCCCCACCATAGAGTCTCCTCCTCTACCTGTCCTAACTGAAAGCCCTATCAAATTGTGGAGCAGTGAGAGGGAGCTGCAGCAGAGNAGTTCAATCCTAATCGGCTCAAGGTTACTCAGCCTTTCATTTTCCGAGGTCGGTAAAATGACGACCCAGATTGTTTGGGCCAATAATTTGTAAACTGCTTAGAGAGGGCTGTAAAGGGCTGTATATGAAGTGATATATAAATCAAGGTGCTAAGTGGTATATAGGATGGGTATCAAATCAATCAATCAATAATTTGTTCAAGTGCTGATTTAAGCATCATATTTGCATACCTCACTGTACATTATTGTAGAGTATCTTTAGCTATTGCACTTAGACTGAAATAAATCTTTTATCTCATAGTTGTAGGTCTTGGAATGGACCCTAGCCTACAGATTGATATTATCAAAGAATTGGATCTTGTCAATATGACTATCGGAGTTACACAGGTCTCTGGACTACATAACGCCAGCAAAGCGTTTCTCTTTCAAGGTAAGCCAAACCTTTCTCTAATGTTTAACAGGGAATAATATGACCTGTTTGTTAATATAAAACTTTTCTTTCTTCTCTTCTTATTTTTCCATTGGAGATTTTGGCTGTCATAGGTCTCCATAGGGGAGCAAAGGGAAATTCTGCAGTATACACAGGCACACACACCACTATATAAATGTCATCATTTTGCTATCTTTGTGATTTCTTTTGGATGTCGAGAGCCATGTATGAATCAGCTGAGGAAGAGGTTGCTGCATTCAATAACTTTATTTAAAAATCTTATTTATGCATTTAAGGAATGTTTCCCTGTCTCAAGATGGATAGACACTAAGTGATTTCCACATATTGAAAATATAATAAAACAGCAATGAAAAGGTAAAGCTAAAACTAAACAATAGAGGTTCTTTAATACACCAATATTGGCACTGATGGCTCCATAAGTATTTCCTCAGAATTAGGTTCTTACAAGCTTATGGGATGTCAAAAGAAAAGAGGCCATCTTTGTTGGAGGAGTGATGGTGGTGTGGCTGGGCTGTTCTATAGGAGAGATATACAAAAGAGAATATCTGCGATCAGCTGCATCCCCACCCCACAATGTGATTTCCACCCTAACTGGGAGCTTTAGCAAGTCCTCTCTGGCTATAGGAGTGAACAAACAGAAACAATACAAGAAATGTGGTATCTGAAATACTCAGGTCCTGAGCTATTTCAGGGCTTAAAGGTAACTACCAACATCTCAACCTATACTTGCAAACTTACCAATAGCTGGTGCAGAACCAGCAGCAGTGTGTATTATGGCAGTACCATGATGGATCAATACATTTTATTGTGGACCAGATAAGGTTTCTGAATAGTCCTCAATGGTAGAAGTCTTGTTAAAGCCAATTGCATTAATTTACCCACGAGGCGATAATGTCTGAGTCGTGGTTCATCCTGTTCTAGGTAAGACTACAATAAACACAAATAATTTCAGTAAACATGGTTATTTCCACCTGTTCTTCCCTGGCAGGATCTTCTAGGCTATACTCAATAGTGCAACTACAGTCCATGGATGCAATCAGAATGGACAAATAGCTATGTCTTGCCACCTTGATTGCCACACACACACCACAGTAGGCTTGAATGTAAGCTTGTATCTGCGTTTCATCTTCTTTACTTACTGTTTGATGGCTGTATCACCTAGGCATCTCTTAATTTGCTTTATTTCCTGAGAGAAATACCAGGCTGCTGGGATCAGCCAGCAGAAAAAGTCTACTCAGATCAGATCTGATAAAAATATCTTAATGAATTAAAATTTATCCAATTCAGTAATATTATTATGTTCTTATAATACATTATTACTATAGCATTTCTGTGATACTGTATTATTTCCGTCTATTTTTTAACAAAGGTCCCCTGTTGGAAATACCCAATAAGACATTGTTTAAAGAAAAAAGAAATTAAAAAGACATTTTGTTTTCATGGCAAGAGTTCTTTGACTCCACTATGTTCATTGGACGGTGTTACAGGAAGTGAGAGCATATTTTTCTGCACAAACTAACTTTGTTGCAGATATTCAAGCATGAGATTAAATTTGCATTAAGATCCAGGACTTCTTTTCAGTATTTATATTACTCAAGTGACATTTTTTCCTTGTAAATAAAGCTTTACAGGAATAGATCACATATTTACAGCCTGATTTTCTGTGACAATTAAAAATAGTCTTGAATTGTGAATTTGGTGGCTTTCAGCTATTCCTCTTTTTAATCAGAACCATCATAATTAATGTATTAAAATTTGCATTTTTTTTTAAAAAAACCAGCAAGTATTATAGAGGACAATATGGAAGTCTGTGTTTGGAAGTTAAAAAAATGGGTGAAAGATCTAGATCAGGGTTCTCCAAACTTGGCAACTTTAAGACATGTTGCACTTCAACTCCCAGAATTCCTCAGCCAGCCAAGCTCTGGGAGTTGAAGTCCACAAGTCTTAAAGTTGTCAAGGTCAGAGATCTCTGATTTAGATAGTTGCTTACTTGTTTATGAATTATAATTAATGTGTCTTTTGGTATCAGCATTAGTTTAGAGATTCAATTTTTACCCTCCAGTTAAGTTAAAGGGGGCCATGTTGTATAAAAATGTTACCTTTGCTTTTCTTGTTCTATCTAAAATGGCTCCATTTGCTTTGGAAAGTATAGTTACACAAATGACTTGGTTTATGTAATTTATGTGGGTGTACAAGTAAAATATAAATCAATGAGTAATCTTAACTTGCAGTTTAACACAAATATAGGTAAGGAAAGTTGACTGATACAGTGTTTCTGCATTCAAAATAATGTGTGGTTGGAGAATAAGAATCACAGACAGCTACTCTTGTTGTTTGGATGAAAAAAGTATGGAATAAAAATTTTCATGGTGCCACATGGTGTTCATGGTAAAACAATTTTCATATGTTGTAAACATACAACATATCTCACATACATTTGTATGACATTTATTGTAGGTCTTTACTATTAAAACATTGTTTTAACCCTACTATAGATATAGATATACTGTAGACTTGAAAACAATGAGTTAACCTAAAATGGTATTTAAATGAAAAACTTCCCTACCCATAGCCATTTATTATCATCTCTGGCTAAATATCATGATGCAAGCTTATTAAGATATGTCTTGGTGAATTCCATCAATAACCACACATAGGAATTCTTCAGAAACAAATAAACAATGCGTCAACATGACACATAGAGGCACACACTGAAGTAGAGAGATTAGCATATTTTCTTATGAAGTCAGTTTGCTGATGTAGGACAAACCTTAACATGCAAATCAAAAGCACAGAACAAGATGAATCAGAGAGGGCAATTGGAGGTTGAGTGGTTATATGAACCCGACAGGAAGCATAATCAGTTTAAGCAAAAGTTGATAAGGAGGTTAATTTTAACTTGAGTTGAAGCACTAAGGAAACGAGAAGTTTAGGGAAAGTGAAATTCTAACAAAGGGTTATTCAGGGAAAACAACAATTGAGAAAGTTGTACACATTTTCTTTTATTACTGTTTTATTATAGATGATCAAATCAAAAGCTAAATTTTTACAGGGGAGTAGGAAAGGCAGAGACAGAGATCTCTGAAGAGGCTTTCAGATTCCTGAACTGATGGACAAGTGTAGCCTGTGTCAGGTTTTAATGGTTACCATGCTTGTTAAATCCAGAACCAATGCAAAAATGTTGTGAGAATAAGGGTTGACGAAGACTGCCACCAAATTATAGAATAGGTTTATTAAAGGAATTTATTTAATTGTCTCACAAGGAAGGACTCTTAACAGTGCACAATATACAAAATTAATAAAGCATTGTATCTGTTAGGTAAGCTCCCTGTTGGGAGAGTGAGTGTGTTCAGAGAAGCGTTGTGAGAGTTGTGTTGGAGAATACNTCTTCTTCCTCAAAGAAGAAATAGTCCAGTTGCCTTTTGAAAAACCACCTTTGAGAGAAGTCTTTAACATTTCCTCATGTGCAGATTTTGAGGCACCTGCCTTTTAGAGATGATGATTAACCACATAAGGTTCATAAATCCCACAAACATTTTGAGTGGATGATAAATATCAGAAAATGTGAATTTTCCAAACTATATTTTATAGCTTTAATCTATTGAATCTCATCTTTCCCTTTCTTTTCCCCAAAACCATGTAAAGTGTGTGTTCTTCACACATTTTCTTTCTTCGTTGGGTTTCAAAACCTTCCAAACCCTGCCCATTTGTATAATAAAATTGTATACATCTATATACTATTTTATTGCTGTTTATAATTGGTTTTTATTATGTTTATGTGTAGCTTTTATGTTTCATGTCTATGTGCACGCCACCCTGAGTTGATTTATGAAGGAGACATACGTTTTTTAAAATATGATTGATAAATACGTAAGTAAGCTCCTGCAACCTCTCAGCTTCCCAAAGAGTGTTCAATATGATCTTTGAACCCTAAGTTACCTTCCTCTGACCTAGTTGAACCTATATGACCCCTACTAAGATGTTTACTCACCAGCAAAGTAATTGAGACTTTGAGACTCTATTTGAGACTATCCATTATCTTTCCCTTCCCCCTTAAATAGCCAGTCTGTACAACGCTTCATATTTGACTAAAAATAAAAGTAAAAATCCTTCAGAGCATTCAGGAGATCAAATGGAGCATCGGTAGCTGCAGAGTGCAAATATTATATTAGGAAATATTAGGAAATATTTTAGGAAAAAGATGTGGCTATTTTTAAGAGTAACAGAGAGAAGCTGCATTGGCATTGCTCTGAATTTTGAAAGACCTTTTCTGAATTATTTCCGAATTTTTGTAGTTGTGTAAACAGATGTAAAACATCTTTCATGCTGCTTTAAGAACATAAACACCCACTGTTTTATTTTAACTTCGGAGGAATATTTTTGCTTCAATGCTGAAATAATATTAACCACATATCCTATAATTAGGGCAACTCAGGCAAGCTTCACAGATGATAGAGTGTAGCTCACGAATAGAGGCAGAAATGTGAATTGCGTGATCATGGAAAAGCTAAATCACAATTTAGTGTAGCGTGAATGTATAGCAATGAGTCTTCTGAATGCTACTCACTCATGAAAGAAAAAAAGGAGGTCGGTAATTTCTGCTTTTCATTTATTGAAGTTTGGCATGTTGTCTAGCCTTGAAATTACAGATAGTCACAACTGATTTTATGTTAATTTATGCTTAAGTATTCCATTCATTCTTATTTTACAGTCTTCTGTCCCAGACAGCTCAAAAACCTGTTACTTAAACAAAAATGAAAACTTTAGACTTCTTTTAGCTTCCCAGGAGGAGAAGTAAGAGATGCCAATATAGACGTTCCTTCATGTCAAACTAAATAGGTTTGAGCAGATTAACTTATTAATCACACTTATAACTTGCACAGAGTCAGCTCTAGATAATTAGGCACGCTAAGCAAAATCATATACTGGAGCCCCCCTATAGTTTGACTCATCGTCTGATTTTGTTAGGAATTTCAAAG